GCAGCGAAAGGAAACGAACCACAATATTCTGGAATATATGTAAAAGGGATAGTTCCTGTCTGATTTGCTAATCAACGAGACAGGGGAACTGTATACGTCACACACGCCTATAGAAATATCAGTCTCAAAAATCCAGGTGATCTGAGGTTTTATTGCAGTTCCTGGACAAATCTGGAGTCAGCCGAACTCATAATGCAGTAAACCTCCCGGTTCGATGAAATCAAGTATCCACTGTAGTGTTCGTAAAAGTGAAGTTGCCGAAGCGTCTAAAAGTTGGATTGGATTGCGAGACCAGCGCTGTGCAATTCACCCTGGACACTTCCCTACGACTAATGCGTGATATGTAGCTCCATCCCCGGGGAACGGCAGATCAAACGGGCATACAAGTTGCTAACAGGCTTGCTCCCAGTTTTAAGAGCCCATCGCACGAAGACTGGTGCAAGATGTTAGGGATGTACATGTTGCCCTATCATCGGGTGCGAGTCGATCCCCGGATGAATTACCGTTTTGGCACCTTAATGACTTCCCACATGTGAGGTCGCAGCTCCGTGTAGCATAGGAGGACACAGGTACAAACCTGTTTTACCGGGTCTAAAGCGAGTTGTTCCCCCTATGTGTTAAGAACAAAGAGTGCTCAATATATGGGACAGTCTACCGTAACACGTGGTAGGGGCTGGATCTGTGCAATAAGTCAAAACATTGCTGGATTCGATCGGTAGCAATGAGGATGGACCTTAATGCGGTGCGATTATTTGTGTATCTCTGTGACCCATTGAGCTATACTGGGTGGTACTCCCGGGTCCCTTGAGAGCTACTCCTACCAAGTTGGTTAATGGTCAGACGAACTTAGAACAAGGAATATTGCACCAAACCTCAACGATGTCCTGCACCGTCCGTAGAGCAGTTTCAAATTGGTTGCCTTATCTGCCACGTGCAGCATGGTGGATAAGCAAAAACAGCTGCTGATAGTGGCGCCTCACTTTTTTCATGAGTTTCTCTTATTCTCCTCCTGAACCCCAGTACTAACCTTCCCTTTGTAATTTGCAGTTCAACTGAGGGCACCAGCGCTGCCTCTGCCACTTGCAGTTATCACCCTGATTCACTCAGCAAACTCCTAGCGGCAACAGCCCCTTATAAGTTCACGCCGCCCCACTTCTCTGGCGGTGCTCAACATTCGTACTCTAAGACAAATAGGTCAACAGGTTACACCCGCACGCACGTTGGACATACTGGGTACTTGACGTGTGTCGTGTGTCTGAAACTAGGAGCAACGACTCTCACAGGGTTGTTGAATTAACTGCACCCCGCTTGTCCTCTCGCTATTGGTTGCACGCATACGGAGACGCTGATGCGTCAATCACTGGTCAAGCTGGGGTGGGCATCGTTCTCAGCTCCAAGATTGAGTCATTGCTGGTTGATTAGATTCCCGTGGTCAGCGGTTTGTGTGCAGCACCTTAAGCGACGTCATATAAGGTTACTTCAAGAAGTAGCCCTAGACGGTGTTTGTTTGTGGTTTCAGCTTGTGTTCCCACCGACTGCAGCTCTGATGCTGTCAAGGACGCCTTCTACCACGAACTGAACACGCTGCTACGCAGTGTTACGTGTTCAAACGTCATAGTTCTTGCAGTGGATATGAATGAACAATTATGCCATCTGAGCTCTTCAGAAGTTAGCTAGGTGGTAAGTGTTACGTGTTCAACCAATGATCGCTCACTATGACCGTAAACGTGATTGGCCCTACACACACACGTAGATAAGCACGCACACACGCACTCAAGGACACACCCTAACTTTCCGTGTTCACATGTAAACCGTTAAGTGTTCAGTATACTACGTGCCAGACTGACGCGTCTTCTTGCTTATTCACTACTAGTTGAAATACGTACTTGCGGTTAGAGTCCAGCTGTGATATCTGGCGACGGAGGTCAACATGTCCATGACAAATACTCCACCGGTCTTCTGGTCGTGCTCTACCGACAAACCTTCCCTGGACTCGTGGCATAGATGGCGTAAAACCTTTACGGATTACTTGGAACTGCTTCCAATCTTGAATCCAGCAGTATCTCTTACTGAGAAAACCAAAGTGAAGCTCTTGAGACAATTTCTTGGAGATGAGGGTCAAAGGTATTTCGATGCACTTCGCATTGATCAAATCTCTTCTACGATAACCGGCGCTTTGGAGACCTTCAGTGCTCTTTGGGGTGCTCGTCAGAATGTTTTTACGGCTAGATACTACTTCTCAAAACTCTGTCAGAAACCAGAGGAGAGTGTGAACGAGTTCATCGCTCGTGTACTACAAGCAGCACCTGATTGTAAATACAATGAAGTCGATTCAACGAGATTTGAAGAGACCATGTTACTCCAATGTTTGATAGCCGGAATCTCAGACCAGAGCACGCGGGAGAAGCTCCTTTCACAAGATGATTGTTCACTGACCTGGGAGACGGCCTGCTCGATTGCCCGGCAGAGGGAACACCTTACACAACAACTCGCAACATTTACGCTGAAGGACTCGTCAGATGAGCTGCGATTGATTAACACTACACCAAAACCAAAGCCACCCACTGGCGTCAATTTGTTTGTGTGCTATCGCTGTGGTGAGCAGCACAGTTGTCCATCCGACTGTCGGCATCAGAAGACAGTATGTCGAAGCTGCGGGAAGATGGGCCACCTGGCGCGAGTGTGTAGATCGGTCAAGCGACGTTCAGGTAGGGCTTATAGAGGAGCAAACCCCATCAAAACTGTGGACGAGTCTAATGGTAGCGACCCTGAATTACATTCCATTTGGCTTAATTCCCTTTCTAGCATACAGCCGGCGCCATACACTTTAGAGCTTTACATTGAAGGACAAAAGGAACAGATGGAAATAGATACAGGAGCATCAGTGACGATAATCCGGGAAAACGCTGTAAAAACGCTCCCGAACTTATCCGCTTGCAATTCTGTTCTTCGTACATACACCGGTGAACCTATACGTGTTCTTGGTAAATGCTTCGTGAAGGCACAGTATGGCGACAAAATACGCACACTTCCTGTATATGTGATCCCCGGGGATCGTCCAAATCTGCTTGGAAGAGACTGGATACGTGCTTTCCTGGATACAATGAATGTGGTAAAATTAGTCACCGAGATCTCCGGACTTGAAACATTACTTAAACAACATTCAGCTGTTTTTTCCGAGGAGCTTGGGAAGTTGAAAGAATTTCAGGCTGTGATAAAACTAAAGGAAGACGCTCGACCAAAATTCATTAAGGCGCGCACACTACCATACGCTATGAGGCCTAAAGTTGAAGAGGAACTAAACCGCCTACAGACTCAAGGTATTATTACTCCTGTACACTTTTCCGACTGGGGAACTCCAATTGTGCCAGTAACCAAACCGGACGGCTCCGTACGGATTTGTGGTGACTACAAGATAACCATAAATCAAGCATCCATGCTGGTCAGGTACCCCTTGCCACGTATTGATGACTTGTATGCAACACTAGCTGGTGGTGAAAAGTTTACCAAACTCGATCTGAGTCATGCATACTCGCAGATAGAGCTCGATGAACCTTCGAGGAAACTTACTACCATCACCACGCACATGGGACTATTTCAATATACTCGTTTACCTTTTGGCATTAATTCCGCCCCCGAATATTTCAGAGAATTATTGACGACCTAGTGAAGGACATTCCTTTTGCGTGTGCTTATCTGGATGATATTCTTATCTCTGGACGCTCGGATACAGAGCATCTTCGAACACTCGCAGTCGTGCTCGAGCGTTTGGAGCGAAGTGGATTCAGATTGAAAAGGTCTAAATGTGAGTTCCTTTCACCGTCCGTTTGTTACCTTGGATACCGGCTTGATAAACACGGTTTACATGTTTTAAATGACAAGGTTAAACCTATTTTAGAAAGCCCAGAGCCAAAGAGTTGTGATGAACTCCGTTCGTTCTTAGGAATGCTATCTCACTATCGCCGTTTCCTGCCTAATGCATCGACGGTTCTATCGCCATTAAATGAGCTGTTACACAAAAATGCATCGTGGTGTTGGGGTTCCCGTCAAAAAAATGCCTTCAATAAAGCAAAACAAGCTCTTGCTTCGCCACCAACGTTAGTCCATTATGACTCCAACAAGCCACTCATACTTCAGTGCGACGCGTCCCCTTGGGGGGGTCGGGGGCTGTCCTGTGCCACCGCATGGACGATGGTTCTTTACGTCCCATAGCATATGCATCGCGCACCTTACAGACGGCGGAGAAGAACTACTCACAACTGGACAGGGAAGCGCTAGCCGTTATCTTCGGAGTTAAGAGGTTCCACCAGTATTTATGGGGAAACGTTTTCGAGCTTCATACAGACCACAAACCATTGATATCCTTGTTTGGGGAAAACAAAGGTATACAACAAATGGCATCACCGAGGATGCAAAGATGGGCTATAACCTTGAGTGCTTACAGTTACAAGATTGTTTATATTACCGGCGTCAGCAACTGCACAGCAGATGCACTCAGCCGTCTGCCGATCACGGAAACTGCACATGAACACGACC